TGGAATGCTCTACTTCATCTCCCTCCATATATATATATATATATATATATATATATATATATATATATATATATATATATATATATATATATATATATATATATATATATATATATATATATATATATATATATATATATATATATATATTCACCTTCGTAAAAGATTATGCCAAAAGCAAATGAAACATACGTTTAGGAACAGAGGAAGTGAAAGAAACTGTAATTACTCTATATATGCATTTCACAAGCTAGACTCCTGTCTTTTCCTTAAATTAACACTATGTTTGGATAATAATAGTAAAGGGAGAAGGAGACCTATTTTCCTTCAAAACCTCGTTTTTTAAAAGAAAAAGGAAAATGTATTATTCTTTTAATTCTCTCCCCTTCACTCTTTGAATTTAATATCCAAACAATGGATGATGCTTCCTCCTTTTCTTTTCCCTTCCTTTCCTTCCATTTCTTTTTATCCAAACATAGCGTAAAAGACAACTTTAGTTAAAAAAACAAGATTCGGGGTTAGTTAGGCCTGGCCCATGGTTTAGCCAACAAGTTTCGTGCCACAATGTGATAGGCCGAAGTTTTCAAAAGGTTAGCCCGTGCACGGCCCAGGCACACAAGAGCCCACGTGCCATCGTGACAGGCTTGTGTACCTAAGTGAAATTGTATTTATTTTAGCATGTTTTATTGTGCCGTGCCTTATCGTGTTTCTCCCATATAAAGATGGCTCAAGCCCAACTCATGACCTACACGAACAGAACTGTGTCATGCCGTGCTTTTTCGTGCCCGTGTCGTGCTTTTTTCTTATTAGCCCGTGCCGAGCTTTGGACCAGCCCGACCTAATACTATCTTTAGTCTTGAGTCACCCATTGTGGGTGCTCTGAAAGTTGCATTGAAAATTGAGATAGAGTTGCAGATAACCGGATACCATATGAATGTAAAATGTACATTCGTATGGTCTCCGATATCATACAGAATATCAAAATGAGTAAAGTTAGTATAGAATTTATAGTAACGTAACAAATATGGAACAAGTAAAATAACTAAGGGCTATTTACACATACACAAAAACACAAGTCGACATCTTAATTTGTATGTATATGCAACATTTATTACCAGAATGTCGACTTTAACAATCAAACAAACTATGTGATAAATATCATATCAACTCTGATGTTGAATTTCCCCATATCAATTAGCGTCGTATGATTTCAACAACATAAATATTGTTTACATGTGCCATTTGCTTTCACTAATATAACTACCGTCAACATCACCCTCAAAAGGTTGAACTAATTGTCAATAAGTTACGGTGATACACTTGTACGTATACACTTAATTATTAGTCGTGACTCGTGAGTACGTAAAAATGGACATTGGTGCAATGCAACCACCAAAAAAGAAAGTTAGACGTTAAAGTATGTGTCGAGTTGTGGCTTGGGAGTAATGCGACTTGAATTTACCCTTCTTTTTCGGAAAGGCACAACTAGAAGGCAATACAAGGCAACATAACAAAAACTTACCTAAAAACAGCGCATAAATATGGTATGACATGGTATAGAACGGAAAACCAAACGACTTGCACCATATTTCGGCCACTAGCACACAAAGCTAATTGGATAGATTGGGAGTTAGGCGGCTTAGCTCTAATAGAACCGAAGACACATGGGTTTTTCACAACCAAAGCCCTTTTAATCATAGTCCTCTCATAGTATAACCAAACTTTGAAGAGTTAGTTAGGGCATGCTCATACTTACTGAACTGAGCTGAATTGAACTGATTGGAGCTGAAGTGAAGTGAACTGAACTGATTGGAGCTCAACTGAACTGAATTGAGCTGAGCTGAACTGAGTATTTTATGAGATAGGAAAATTAGGAGTTGAACTGAACTGAATTGATTGGAGCTGAAGTGAACTGAACTGAATTGAACTGAACTGAATTGAACTGAACTGAAATTAAGTAAATGTGAACGGACCCTTAGAATCTAATAGCCTGCAAATAATCAAGAACCCTAACATTCCTAACAAAAGCAGCAAGGGTCTTATAATTACCAAAAATTCCAAATGGACGGTCAGAGTTAGTGAAAAAAAAGTCGTTAGTAAAGAACAAGGAAGATGGAAGCTTTTTGGTACGATCAAAGATACGCCTAGAATTAAGCGGATCTGGACCTCATATACAAAACAGTATTGAGCCCACATGATTTGAAGTCGACATGTCCAACAAACATATACCATAATTGGTATGATATGGCCCACATTTATAATGGCCCACAATAATATCGTAGTATCAATGATGGTATCATGCTACCTTAGATCATCTTTATTGGTGAACCCAAATAAATGGTTCATGGGTCACTATCACCATTTCTCTCTCATCCACATCAACCCAACAAACCATTTACAATATTCACTCTTAACAATGACCATACAATGGTTCATCATCAATACTCACTACCCCACCTTATTTTATTTTTGTAAATATAATCTTTTTTGTTTCATAATTATAATTTATTAACCCGATGTCAATGTAATTAATTGACGTATTTAATATTTTAATCGTGATTACTAATTAAGAAATTATCGCATTTTTTTATCAGCTTTTTAAAAAACTAATTCTTGTGATTAATATTTTTTAAACAACAACGCAGCTAATTTTAGTTAACAAAAAAAAGAGGTACAAATCGTGATTACAGTTCTACAACTATAATCTAGTACATTTTATTTAAAAAAAAAAAACAACTACACATCGTTTTGTAAGATGTCCTTAGGGATAACCATTTGTTGTAAACCTAGTTGCCTAAGTTTTCGTTGTTACCAAATTTATTCCATATATGTTCGACCAAGTCGTTTTTTAGCTGCAAATGAGTCTGTTGATCCTCAATCTCTGTTCTACGAGACAAGTATAAGTCGATATCCACAATACGATCAGTACGGTACTCGGTAGTGTCCTCATTAGCGTTGCCTCCAGCATTCATAAACTCATTGGTATTAACGTTATTTTGATACGTCTCTCGTTCATCTTCAACGATCATATTATGTATTATATTGTGGAGTATGTCGGTATCCCACGCCAAAGACGGCTTTTTAATAATGACAAAACGAACTTGAAGGATCATATTTTGACCCAAATTTTTTTTCTTCTTTCTATTTGTTTTGGGGTTGGTATTAGCATCCATAATTATAATTTATATTTGGAAAAAATAAAAATTTAATAATAATAATAATAACGACAATAATAATAAAAATAATAATAATAACGATAATAATAATAAAGGAAATAATAATAATAACGATAATAATAATAAAAATGATAATAATAACGATGATGATGATGATAATAATAATAATAATAATAATAATAATAATAATAATAATAATAATAATAATAATAATAATAATAATAATAATAATAATATTGGTAATTATAGAGGGGATTTTTGAAGAGAAAAAATATAGTAGAAAGAAATGGATTTTCAAAGTTGAAGAAAGTATAGCAATATGGGTGTCTATTTATAGAGGGGAAAAAAATAGAGCCGTTGGTAATTTTTTTTTTTTTTTTTATTTGTGTTTTGTAAAATATATCCGTTGTAAAATTACAACGGATTTATTTAAAACAGTGACACGTGTCAAGCAGCGGCTGGGCCAAGTGGCGCGCTCCCAGCCGCTGCTTTCTATTTTTTTCTGAAAAAAAATAAAAATGGGTGGGGCCCACAATCTATAAATTCGTCCAAATGCTTGCAGCAGCAATCGATCCCACAACCATTCACTATGAACAATTATAGAGATCACCATTAAGCCACCCATTCACTTGTTCACTCATTGTGAACTATTTTTTTGTTCACCCTTAAGGCTGCCCTTATATTCGCTAGTAGCCACTCGGTTTTTCTAGTTGTTAACAGCTATACTCTTCTTCTTTGGGGTACCAATATTATTACACCCAACTTAGGAATTGGACAAATTAAACCATGCTCTAAATTATTATTGTGACATAACGCGCATTAACAGCTTGATTTTGATTTGTAACGTTTAATTATATTAGTACCTGGAAAGGAACTCAATAAAGGGAAGAGAGTTATTGTTTGGTTTAAAGGACATGATTAGGTGATCGATAGGATTTTTTTGTTTGGTTGTTTAATACGAAGGCTATAAAAAAAATACGTTGTCTAATGTAAAAGTAGCGAGTATTAATTTATTGAAGGTATGTATTCGTCAAAAATTAAACTTTATGGTTGTGTTTGAAGTACTACTTTTGTTTCTTATTATTTAATAGAGACAGTAATAGATATTACGCAAAGTATTTTGCATTGGTTGATTGGTAAAAGCAATCAGGCAATGCTGCCACAAATGTTTTACTACAATTGTAATACAAGTACATGATAGCATTGATAAGTGCATTTGTTAGTAGTTTCTAATTTTCTTTCTATTCTTCTTTATTGATATAATGATATTAGGCACAGATGAGGTAGTAATAAGGGATGGCTTGTTAGTAAGAACTAATGGTAGTAAAACTATTGTCGGCTAGGCTTTTAATCATTGATTCCTCATAGTCTCAAACACCTAGAAAACTAGAAAAGTCAATTCTTTTGTTTGCAAAAGTTACACCTTTAAAAAAACAAAGAAAATTTGGTGAAAAAAAGGGATTTCACCGTAAATAAAAGGCAATATAATATGCCTTAATAGAGTTACCACCATCCCTATTATCTTTGGCTTTGGTAAGAAAGTATAGCAAAAGTAAATGAAATTGATACTAGTTATACAAATAAGAACTTTTCTCTTCGGAATGAATAAGACGTTCTAATCTAATTTTTATTATGGTAAGAGTTAGGCCATTTGGCTTGCTAATCCATTACATATACATATATTTGGTGTAAATTTAAATTTAAGAAATTATCCTAAAACTAGCCATTATTAAAACAACACATCTACCTTATAGAGTTAAGACAACAACAAAGATTGTCAATCATTAATTCCTCATAAACCTAGAGAATTCTATTCCATCCCATGTTAACATCAAATAAATCATAAAGAAGTAAAAGCCAATATATGCCTTACAAGTTACAAGTTCTTTTGATCTTTCAATATATAATCCCATCATCTTTAACTTTATTTTATAGAGAAAGTATATTAAAAGTAAAGAAAATAATGATGTAATGTATTAGTAAGTATTATCATCCTAACAACATTTATATCCTTACAAAAAAATCTCATTCTTTGACTATAGGAATTACAACAATATTTATAACACATTTTAACCTATAGTATTATCAAACATATAAGAATGAACAAATCAAAGTAATAAAAAAATAAAAAAAGACAAATTACCTTTACAGTAACCTAATTATATCAATTATCAAAGCCTAAGAATTGGATCCCCTTTTCATATATCATTTAACCCCCCACCATCCTTGCACCATCATATCTTTGTCCATTACTATGAATCAATGATCACCTATAACAAACCCCCTTCAATTTCTCACCATACATCACAATTAGCATGGGTCTAAAATTTCAACTTTTCACACCGGTGTTAGCCCATCCTTAGCCTCAGGAGTCAGGACCATTCATGTACGCGGTCCCCACTATCAAGCCGTATATGGCTGTACTTAAGGTGTATGTCATAAAGGGAGCTGGGAAGTTCCGAGGGTTTCATGTTCAAATTGCTTTATGGTATTGGCAAGTTGTTTCATGTTGTCATCATAAACGTAAGGCAGTTTATAGTGAAATGTAATCTTTTTCTTGGCCGAAGGTGGGAGTAATACACGACATGGCTCACCTACGACTTGGATGGAGTTGTGGTAGTGGTAGTATCGGATTTTAGCCTCTGTGTGGTGAAGAGACTTCCCTACAATGTTCTCTGACATGTGAACGCCGGTGGCTAATACATTCCTTGCTTGGATGGCGTATTTTCTATCTCTTCGGATTTTAGTCCTCCAGTCCCTGAACAGCAGTTTCTCAAAACCCCATTCCCTGGCAATTTATAAAAACCACAAAATATGATCAACAGCCAAAAGTTGAAGACTTTCTAAGATAGAGATGGGAGCAAAGTATGGGCATAGATTTTGAAAAAAAAAAAAATCAGGAAACTAGAGACAAACATTGTTCTAGAATTGGATCACCACATGATCAGCATCAATATGGGGTCACTAGAATATTTAAAGCATAAAAACATTCATGAAAAAATTAATTTCAGTTGACCACATTAGAGCAAATTAGCATATTATAGATAACAGAGGAAGGTTAAGCAAATTAAAGATTGACAATTTGCCTCTCCAAAATGCCCCCTTACATTTCTATGCAACATGTACCATCAACTAAATTGTAAGATTGAGGTAAAAAATAGCAAAGCAATAAAGCAGCCACAGAAAGTCCGGAATCTGAACTAGAATAGCTATCGGGTCACCTAAATTAGAACACCTTTCAGTTCCTAATAAACCATCTGATGTTTGAAGAAAACAGCACATCACAGCTTAGCAAAAGCCTTAGTGTCGCCTACTCAACAGTAATCATCATCTCAACTCTCAACACAATTGAAAGTTCACGGAACTTTTATCATTATACAGAGTAACTATGTAAATTTCTGTTTGTAAAATGTTAATTAATCCTCTTTACCCATCAAATAAATGTAAAAGAACTCCTAGAGACAACAGAATATCATTATGAGTCCTGAATCCTTTATTTTTTTATCTTTTGTTGTGTCTATATGCATTTTCTAATGAACATTATGTTATCCACTTTCAACTTTAGAAAGCATTTCTTTTCTTCTAAAACAAAAAAAGGGTTGCTTTCTTTTTCCCTTTTTCCATATTGTAGTAAATTCCTATTACCTAGAAACAAAGGAAAAGTAATGGTGCAACTTTCATTGCACCACCACATGGCGTTTAACATATCTTTATAATGATCTCTCAACATCGATTCATATGCTTAAATACTCAGAATTATGGATTGAGTATGAGCAAAGTTCTCATGCACCCCGATATTGGCATCATATACGCACAAGCTCTAGCACCCAAGACACATGATTCCTAAGCTCGAACTCCATGGTAACAACAGATCTAATTTGACCTCCATCACAAGTAAAGCGAATAGATCCAGCATAATGATGCTTCCTATTCAAGACACCGATAATATAATAGTGCTTACTGCTAAGTGCTTGGCAGCTTGACATCTCCATATATTGATGCCTTTTTTACACTTTCCACAAAAAAGAATGTCAATAATTTTGTATATTCCATTTCTAAGATTCTCAATTTCTCACTACCACCATCAGAGGACAAAATCGAAGCAAAATGCTAGTGGAAGGCCGGTGGAGATCAAGTTACAAACTTACAGGTAAAACACTCATAAACCATAGAGGACAGAGTGTTACAGAGTAGCATCAACTTAACAGCAATAACCAGAGAACATAGTAATTCAACTTCATCTATAACTTAATCCGAACAGTCAATGTTTCCTCACTAAATTCGTCGGTGATTGATTTCAATTATGCACCAGAATATTAAGACTTTGGACCATCAACATCAGGGCATCGAATCACTTTCCATAAGACCACTTTTGCCACATTAGTCATCGCGAATATTGCATTACTTAGAAGAACGTTTTGCTCGATTATTGTATAATTAATCTCTTAATAGAAAATTGCACTTCGCCTAATAATCAATAATCAAATAAAAAATACACCGCCCTAGCTTAAGAGCCTTAACTAACAAACAAACATTAGTCCTCCTATTGTCAAATCTAAGCAATTAATAATTAACCAAACACCTGCCTCTCAATTGCACCAGATCTATTTAGTATATTTAACCCTCTAATTAGCAATCAAAACCAACAGAGAATGTTTCCCAATACTAAGGAGTAGTACAAAACATTAATTAAATTAACACAATCAAACCCATAATTATAATTAATCAATAATTCTCTCTATTAAGAAACAAATTTAACAACTATAACAAACAAACCCAAAATTATAATAACACTATCAACAAGAATTTAACCCAGAATTAATAATTACTGTAAATGACCACAAAATCAGAAAATAATCAAATCATAACCAATCAAGAATCAAAAAACCCAAAATTAATCAAAACTAACCCAGAAAAATACACAAGTAACCACAATCAACCCAGAAAACCCCAGAATTAATCAATGAAAAAAAAAATCCCAGAATCACAAAACACACAATCAATCAAAATTAACAGAAAAAATTTAAAAAATACCTGGAATAATCTTGGGATGAATCATTCTTGAAGCAAAGAGCACTAGACATAGGATTCTGCTCAATAGTAATCTGAGTAAATTCATCAAACTCCTTCATAACATTCTTCAATGAATTTCCTTTTGGAACGTAAATATACTCATCAACATCAAAATAAAACGTCCATTTAGCAGCAAATCTATACCTATGTAAACAATCATTCACCACCAAAAATTGATTATAATAATACCCATCATAATTTTCTTGATCTCTAATATTTTGAATCGTTACTCTCCCCTTCTTCACCCACGGTTCTAGAACCTTCCGAACCTCATCGGAAACCCCACCAGCGTCATGAAACACGAAATGCGACTTCTCCCCAAAGCGCCAAGCATGGTACGCTACCCACTCACGAATTCTCGACGCACTTAAAGTGCCATAAAGTGAGGACCCACAATAGAGGTAGTCTAGCTCTGGGGGAGAACTGTAGAGTGAGCTGTTAAAAGCGCCGGGAAGTTCTTCAAGCGCTGTAAATTTCTCGAAAAAGCGTGGGGAAAGAGAGTAGTAAGCGTAGAGAATGAGTTTTCCGCCGGAATTATCGACGTTTGGGTTCGTCGGAAAAGTGCAGTTTACGACGACAACAGTGTAGACTCTTCCGTAACCCCAATCAGGGAGGATTTTGAACGCTTTTGCGCGGGTAGGTTGAAGGGTCCGATTGTTTGGGACCCACTCACACTTGTACCATGGTTGACCGTATACATGGATCGGTTTCGACGCTAATCCGACGACGGAGAATGTCGCCGGTCCTCCACGGTAAGCACCCATTTGAACGAAGAGTGCAGCGGCATTTCCATACGGTTTGAACTCTCTCTTATTCGGGTCTTTGGGTTGGGTCCGACCCGGAAGAGGGAGGTTTCTGGGTTTGTTGATGGAGGAGAGAGAGAGTAAGTGGGTGGTTTTTGCGGCGGTTGTTGTTGTTGTGGTGGTGTTGAGGAGGTGGTTGAGAGGAAGAGGGGAAGTGCAGTGGCAAGAAGAGGAGAGAGAAAGGAGGTGGTCGTAGTAAGGTTGAAGGTTCCAAAGGAGTAAAACGAGGGTGAGAGTTAAGAGGGTGGCGAGAACTGGTTTGGTTTCGAAGCAGAGTAAGAGTTTTCCGACGGGTTTTCCGGTGACTCTGCCGGTGAAAGGTGACGAGTCTTGTTTCTTCATTGTTGGGGCCTTGGGGGTGTGAAGTGTGAAGGGTGAGGAGAGAGACAGTAGGAGGGGGTTTTAAAGGTGGGAAGTATGGGAGTGAATGAGTGATGAGGTGGAACTTTTAAAAAAGATGGTGGAAACTGAGGTTGTTAAAAAGATTTTCTATTTTTTTTTTAATTAAAATTGTAACGTTGAAAATTTAACTCATGTAAAATGCACATCTGAATTTGTGTATGTGTTCACCTTAATATATGTATAATAGAGTATGTTTTCATACGATTATTTTAAATTCAGCTCATTTCAGTTTATTTCAATTCAGTTCTTAATTTCCTTTTTTTATAAAATATTCATTTCATTTCAGTTCTAATAAGTTCAGTCTATGAAAATAAGGTCAAAATAGACATCTTATATTACTCCAGATTTAAACTACACATAATTAGTTAATTACAAAATATATATAGAAAAAAGTTATTATATTGAGACTTTCAAAATAATAAGATGTGACATGATATTGTTACATGGTGAATACTGAATAGCGTTTTAGAACTGGCAAATGTGTCGTGCTTGTATTTGTATTCAAATATAAACGAGTAACCATACGTCGATAAGTATAATTAAACGTGTCTACTTGTAATGATGCCTTGATTAATATTTAAACGATTAGAAATCCTTGATATAAATTCATTAATTGAGTCCAATTAGATATTGTGTTGAGTAAGATGTTATAAACTCTACTCTTTTTTTTAATGGTGAGATATGGCATATGGGAAAGGCCCCCTCCTCCTATCACCTGATGGGGATTACATTGAACCCTCATTACTTGTGAAAAAATGCTCTCTTGAACCTACATCTTCTATTCTTCTTATAAACTTTGGTTATAAGTTAAAAGGATAAATAGTTTGTAAATTTGGGCAAAATAACGAAAAGAAAAAATAGAGGAAGAGAGAGAAAAAGAGGAGGTGAGCTGGGAAGAGGAGGTGCAACCGGACAGGGGTCTAATTGGTCTAAAGGAGACTGCATGTGATTTGCTGGCAATTAATCATTTGTAACTTTGTTTTTGATGAAGAGAGAGAAAATTAACATTCTTCTTACAACCAAAATACTGCTATTTTGTTATTATTATATTTTGGGCTTCTTCACTTTTTTTATATTCTTTTTGACTTTGCTTTCACTACAGAATTGCTCTCATTTTCTTTGGTTTAATGTTTTTAGATTTTGCTTAATTTTGGAGTTGGACTAAAATTATTCTATTTCTTGGATTCTTTTAAGCAACTTTCTTTGTTATCATTATTAGTTCATTGCTTGTGAAAGCTATGATTTGTGTTGTGCGATTAATAGGTCTAAAGTTGATGATGAATTGGGAAATTATTAATCATGATTCTTATGGAGTATTTTACTAGTTGTAAATTATATCTGCAAATTAGAATTCATTTTTGTTGAGTTTATAACACATAAAATCCAAGTATTGTTACAACGTTATTAAATTTCCTGATTAATATGGAGTGTATTTAATTTAATTTTGTTATAAAGTTACTATTTTTTTTCCTGATTCACCCTTGTTTAATGTTTTCTCTTGTGTCAAAAAAAAATTGTTTTATCTTGTGTTTTCTAGACTATATATATATATATATATATATATATATATATATATATATATATATATGTGGTAAGCATTAAATATACTCTTGGAAATTGTATAAAATTAGGAATTTATGACAAAAACGCGTAAATTAGTGTCATTAGTGTTTATATTTAGATGATTTCTTAACTGTTTATGATTTTCAAGTGTAAATTTAATGCTTATATGTAGCCCTAAGGGCTATGAATAACATTTTCTAATATATATAGAGAGAGAGAGACAGAGACAGAGGATGTAGAGTATGTACTTTCTACATGTCATTAATAACGCTTAAGTGTAGCTTGGTGTATTGGTGCTAGTTTATACTTACAAGTATTACAACTATAACACGTCCAAAAAAAAACAACTATAATGCCTTAGATATATAGAGTTCAATAAATATGTTTGATACTTGTAAAACAGTTAATATTTTTATTGTTATTGCTTACAAATCAGTGGCTTATCCAGGATTTTTGAAGTGTGGGTTCAAAATTGTGAAAAAAAAAAGATATTTTAATTAAAGATTTAATATATAAGTTCAAATTTCAGATTGCATTTAGATAAAATAAAATAAAAAACAAATAAAAAAAAAACAAAAAAAAAATCTACATATAAAAGCATTTTTCATATATTGGAATTGTGTCAATACATCATCACTAAATCTAGCACAATTGATATGTTTACTACTAATTATTGTTGTATGATTTTTGTAAAAAAAAAAAAAAAAAAAAAAAAAAAAAAAAAAAAAAAAAAAAAAAAAAAAAAAAATTGTTGTATGAGTAACATTCTAGTAGTTTTTTTATACAGTAAATGTAAAATTGTAACTCAATAACTTTTATCTCCAAATAATTTAACATTCTAACTTCTAACTCCAAAAGTATTACACGCAGATTAAAAACCCCAGCTAATATATACAAATGAATTAAACACTGCCAATTATATATCAAATAAAATATGTCAAGTAAGAATCTAACTCCGCAATTAACTATAAGTATTTAATTTGTCAATTATTTATCAAATTAGGCAATTAACAATCATTAAATATTAATAATAAGTTAAAGGAAATTTTGACAATTACCACCTTCTGTTATGTCCATTTTACCAATTACCACCTTCTATTTTTTTTTTTTTTGAAAATTACCACCTTCTATTTTCAAAAACATCAAAAGTTACCACCTTCTTGCCTCCCAACTACCACATGACGTCATTTTGGGCTCATTCTTTCCCTTTCCTCCCTATTTCCTCACATTTCTCATTCCTAACTCGATTCTCATCCCCCTTTCACTTTTTTTCCCCCAAACAATAAAAAACACTTCAATTCACTCCTCCAAATCAAAATTGACGAACAATTATTGGTGGTTTGGGGGAAAAAAAGTGAAAGGGGAGATGAGAATCCACATAGGAATGAGAAATGTGAGGGAAATAGGGAGGGAAGGCAAAAAATGGGCCCAAAATGACGTCACGTGGTAGTTGGGGGCAAGAAGGTGGTAACTTTTGATGTTTTTGAAAATAGAAGGTGGTAATTTTCAAAAAAAAAAAAAAAAAAAAGGTGATAATTGCTAAAATGGACATAACAGAAGGTGGTAATTGTCAAAATTTCCTAAGTTAAAATTTTAAAATAAAGAGTTAATTAAAACTCCTAGTTATTGTACTGTGCTCAAACGCTCAGTGTTGACGGGGTCGGAGTTTCATTTTCTCGGAGGAGTGGACGAATGGTGCGCAAGAAAATGGTAAATGGATGGTGGGTGCGTGCAGGATGTGGCGATGTTGAGTTAAGAGAGAGAAGGTTGAGGTTGGGGTTTCAATTTGGGGGGAAAAGGAGATAGGAAGTTTCTTCCATAATCGATTCAAAAATATTAAAAAAGAAGATAAGGGTAGGATTGGAACCCTTGATCTACAACACTGGTTCAAGATAAAAATTACCATTGTGCTGCACTTCAATATCTAGGATAAATGTTGCACAAATAATGATATAACCATTTTTCCCAAAAAAACTATGGGTTCAATGAACCCGTTTGAACCCCACGTGTATCTGCCCCTGCTACAAATTAGTCCCCCACCCCAAGTCCCCAGCTCCCTTTGCATTGTTGCTTATATATATACTCGGGGCATGTTTACATTTATTGAACTGAACTGAACTTAACTTAACTGATTGAAGCTGGTGAACTGAATTGAACTTAACTAAGCTGAAATGAATATTTTATGAGCTGAACTAAAGTGAAATAAAATAAATGTGAACAGGCTCTTATTCTCATCACCACTAGTGAGCCAATAGCGAAAAAATTTATAAGCAATTTGTGTGTAGAATGATGATAAAGAAGAAGTGGTGGTATGGTGGTAAAAGTGAATACAATTGTTATTTTGAGGTCTCGAATAATTTGTCACGTTAAATGTGTAAAATCTCTCTTAGAGCACTCACATTAGTGAGCAAAAAAAAAAAAAATTGTTCATTTTCTTTCTAGCCACTTTCTCTCTCTTCCCAACCAAATTTGCTCATAAGCATTTTTGTGAGGAAATTTTATCCCACTAATGATAAAAAAATAATTGAATTGCTCATGAGTATATTTTATTTTGCTCATTGATGTAGTGACATTTAAGCCATTTTTGCTCATCAATTTTGGATGAATATTGGGGCCCACGAATTTACTGATCATCTTCAATTTTGCAATAAACCACCTTTTAATTTTTTTTTTTGCATTTAACCACCTTTTAAAAAAAATGTTGCAAAACACCACCAATTTTAAAAAACTTGTTGCAACTTACCACTCATTCAATGTAAAACAATTGATAAATTTGGCTAAAAAAGTGGTAATTTGCAACAAAATTTTTAAAATTGGTGGCCTATTGCAACATATTTTATAAAAGGGGGTTATATGCAAAAAAAAAGATTTAAAAGGTGGTTTTTTTACCTAATTTTAAATATCTAATTTTTATTATTTTGACTAATACATGTAATAAGTAAACAAATATAATAAAAATCAATCTAATTTACAAGTATTCCCGTTTTATACTTTTGACTTGATATGATTTATACTTCGTAAGTACTCCCTCTGTTTTTAAATACTTGCTTCATTTCTATTTCTTGCACTATTCATTTGTCATATACTTTGACTAATGTTTGTGATTTATACATAAGAAAAAAATATAGTCTTGTGGGTACTTATTGGAATCATCTCAATGAATAGATTATTAATTTTCAATTGTTAGAATTTATACTTATTGATAATTAAAGATATTAGTGATAAAAAATTAGCATCGGCATGCGTGTCCAAGAGAAATGAAACAAGTATTTAAAAACGGAGGGAGTAATAAGTAATGATACATTAAAATAAGGTCAAGAAACATAGCCTTACGGTGGGCTCTTCTAGGACTGTTGATTATTGTGCAACAAATTTTCTTAAAATAATCCCAATAATTTAGGAATAGGATATCATAAACCAAAATCCAAAATCAAAGAAATACAACATATGTTAGGGTTCACAATTATTGAATACTTGTACATGTTTTTTTGGGTGCATAAATATCTAGTTGATCATAAAAATAATGTAGTCGACATGAGAAATGAAATAACGATAAGATATCCTTGCCAAATTTCAATAAAGTAGAAGTGTTGAACCTAATTATTATGATTGAATTGAAGTTCATTAGAAAAAACCAAAACAATTGTGATTGATAAGGATCGACGAAAGATGAGGTG